TTTGCTCTATGCTTGTGAAACCTGGCCTCTCCGAGTTGAGGATGTTGGACGACACTGTGTTCGATCATTGCTGTCTCCGAAGGATTGCTGACATCCAGTGGCAACACCATGTCAGTAATGCAGAGGTTCGGCATCGTGTGTTCGAGTGCAGATACGATAATCCAATTGGTGTCACCATCTTGAAACACCGACTTCGGTGGCTTGGACATGTTCTACGAATGTCGTCCCAGAGAATTCCACGTCGTGCATTATTTGCCGACTCTGGGACTGGATGGAAGAAGTGGAGAGGTGGTCAGTGCATGACATGGTGTCGTGGTATGAAAGAAAGCTGCAAAAGACTGGCTTCTGTCGGTCCTTCACGACTCCCTGGTTGGGGTCCGAGAGATGGTGCTACACAGTGGCTAGAGACGTTATCAGATATGGCTCAGAATAGAAGCCAGTGGCGATCCTGCTGTAACCTTCTTCCTAAAAGTGGTTGTGTCTCCCTTACCTGAAAGAATTCTTCTGGTTGTACCTTTCTGTTTCCCACATTATTATTATTATTACACTACCTTATACTAATCTGTGGTTGTTATCGTTCTTTTTTTCTTATACGCTCCCTATTCTCTTTTTCTCTCCCCATTCTCATTGTTTTGTGTGGCGCATATATATATGGTGCCCCCTTGTACCAATATGTGTTCAAATAAATAAATAGAACTATTAAATGTGATCTTGGCAAATTAAACTATATTTAAAGCAAATTATAGATTACTAGATATGTCACTGTTTGATATGTTGTCACAATGAAGTAATTTCTAATTGATAACTCTAAAGTGTAAAGCGATAAATTAAAGTTTTATAAATGTGTACGGTAATCAACAAAAGTTAGTAATAAATGTGAATGCATTGGAAAGTTGAAGGAGAGTAAGGCTCTCAAATAATACAGACTTGTTACCGATTATGCGCTGAATAGAAATATTTCTCCATTCAATATCACAACGATGTGTTGGTTGCATAATAATCATCCGAGGGACCGTTTGATCGCAAGTTAAAATGAATACAGAAAGTAATTAAAATCATAACTGAGAGTTTGAGTAACTGATTAAATACCTAGGGTTATCTTATAAAAAGTAATGAATTTCTTTATCAGCAAACTAAGAATAAAGTGCACAGTATCAGGTTCAAAGTTTAACGATTTGTCGAATCCCATTTTCGATCATTGGAAATTAAACTACTCAGTTCAACAGAATACCTGCAATACAAAAACCTACATATTCAAATTTGAAATTCTCTTTGGGTTCTGTAAAAATTTACAGTATCTTGTGATCGCAACCACTGAATGTCCGTTTGTAGGGACAAATATTCCAATAATAATCACAGAAGAATTAGTCTGGCTAATATTGTGATCCAAGAGGATAGCATCGATAATCACTCAAAACTTAACTGGGACTCGCGAATGGTAAATGTGAGAAAATCAGGCTAGTTTCAAACCTGGACTTAAACGTACTGATTGAATATTTGCTGATCCTCAGGCATTTGGATATGGGCCTAATAACAGACGCCGAATTTCAGTTGCGGTTAAGTTTAAACATAATAGCAAACCTGAGTCAAGAAAGTGGTCTCAAGGTGATGGTAAACACATCACATCATAATCCTGATAACATTATGACTCATTCTAATTAAGTGAGCATGATGAAGCACAAGAATTCGGATTGTTAAGAAAAACACTCGTCTGCGAGAGATAAAATTGCTACCAAGGAATCGAAAGAATTACAAAATGCAGCAATACCTTGTGATGTCTGGTGGAACAGGAAGTCGATCAGCAGTGAGTCTTTTTTCTCTCGTTCTGCTTTAATATTAAGACAATTAAAGCTCTTGATAATGCATTGGATAATAAAGATCCTGCTTACAGCTTAAACTTCTTTGGCAAATGTTTCAGAACCATACAATGCGACTACCATTATCTTTTGATAGTGTCGGCGTAGTCGTTAATATGGAAAGAGCCATAATACGTAAAAGAGGAAAGACGCCGAATATGTAAGTAATTCTTTTATGTAACTGTGCTTAAGACTTTTTAAAAGTACCCGAGGTAAAACGGTATATAGTCATGTGGACGGATGCCTATGTCAGATTTTTTTCTTTGAATTCAAGGCAGAATAACTGATAAGCAATCTAGAAATATTCACTAATCACTCAAAAAATTTACATAATAAGTTCTTTCATTTTGTATTATAAATTAACCCTTTTTATTTTTCCTCCTACTGGCCGATAGGGGATCAAAAGTTTCCCAAGGTCAATCTAGAAACCGCTCAAATTCACCATCATACTTTAACTCAGCCGTCAATATGTCAATTGAATTTCTATTAAAATACTTATTCACTTAAATTACTTGATACTGTTCCTTGCATATTTTTTCTTGAAGTAAGCTATCCACTAACAGCAGTATTAATTCTTTTGAAAAAAGAACCTACACCATTCCTAAAGTTGTATGTTAATATGTGACTGTTTCTCAAGTATTCCAGCATATGTTGATTGTTGACATGTGAAACTAATCATCAGTGTGACCGAGATTAAATATAGTACAATTTTTAAAAATATATATAATTTTTGAAAATAGAATTTCGCCATGTATTCAGTTATTGATAGAACAAGTTACAATACTAAAAGCTATACTACGGGCATTGAATAGTTGAATAAATCTCTCCCAACTAACTTTAAAAGAATAACCGAGTTTGGTCTTTTGTAGCTTTGTACTGATGAGAAGTCTCAAACAAAAACAAAACAAATACTTAGCAATCTCTAGATTTTAACGGTATTCCAACTGACATTAGCTCATAGTAAAATTTAAAGCAATTAATCCTTTTTATAAATTTCGATAGAACAATGAAAAGACGGAGTTCATCCGAAAAATGTAGTAAAATTATCCTTAAATGATAGGAAATCTCTAGACATTCACTGTGAGGATATATTTATCTGAGATTTATTATAAAATACTAATGGCTTTTTCAAGCTTAGAAGTGATTGAAGAGCACCAACTGGAATTTCTAAATAATGAATATATTCAGTAGATGAAACAATCACGTAAACGTGACATTACTATCGTGATTCTTAACTCAATAATTTAATAGTACTAAAATAAATGTGAAATGTAATAAGTTACATCAAAAAGATGAATAGCAGCTGAAAAGGATTTTTCAGGACAGAGTTCGATGGAGAATGCTGGTGGGCGGTCTATGTACATTTATGAAGGGTAACAGGCGTAGTAAGTAGTGAGTTACTGAAAATGGATTGATCTTTCTTTTCGGTTAGATTTTTCACTAGCTCGGAAAATTAGACAACTACTTTTCGGATACGGAGGCATCTGTCCTTGAAGTCACTAACTTCTAGTCTGAGCTGTGTTGTTAGATCCAGACTACTTGGTTAGGGTCTGCGTGACCGTCGTAAAAATGGTTGGAGACTCTTGGTGACATGGCTCAGAATCGATCACAATGGCGTAGGTGTATACACACTCTGCCTTCCCTTAAACTGTGAGATTAAAATTACTTTATACCTTTCTTTCTACGAACTAATTCTTTCTTCCTGTATTATATCCTTCTACGCAATCTTTCTTTTTATATATTACTATCATTGAAGTAACTACTTCTATGAATCTGGTGTTCATCTTCCTGTACTAATGAGATATGGCAACTTGGACCGAAGCATATATGTGCCTGGTCCTACGTTGTAGCTGACTGACTGGATATGAAACTGGATGAACAAGATATATTAAAATGAAAACTGTACGCCAATTATTTGATCACGAATCAGCGACTGAAATTTAACTATTAGGTAGGGAAGCATCTTCAAATGCCGGTTAAGTTTTGGAGAGTAATCTGAAGTGTTACCAGTTATTAGGTAGGTGGCCGCTATTATCAACAGATAAACATATACGAATTTAGAGAAATAAATAATTACCAACGATTTATTTTACGACGGTTACGTGGACTATGTGATGCAGAAAATAATAAAATGCAATTGAAACTTGAAGGTACAACGTACACGACAAAAAATGAAACCTGGATCTGAAAAATCTTGTGACGCTCAGGATTTTATCAAGCCACTGAATCATAACTGCATAGATCTACACTATATATGAGTCTCAAACTAAAGCAGACCAGCTTCCAACTGTTCTTCAGTACTAAATAGTTTTCCTAATGATATCCGTTACTGATGAACCTAACACCGAAGTTCAGTACCGATTTGAGCACTGGTGAGGAGTTCCGTACTAGGATGAAACGGTCATCCAGTGCTTCCAGGTTTTCGATGGTGGTCCAACATCAATCGATTCAGGATCTTAATCAAAAATAAGTATTTCCTCTACATTTTTCAAACATAGACTATACAACTTCATAATGTTAGACGACACTCTATTCCTCATTATCCTTGTCTCCGAAACATTGCTGACATTCACTGCAAACATCGTATCATTAAAGCTCAGGTTCACCAACGCATGTTCAGGAACAGTGACCACAAATCACCTCGTGTTACCATCTTCGAACACTGACATGGACATTTCTAATGAATATCATAACAGCGACTCTCACGTCATGCTTTATTTGCCAACGCTGAAACCGGTTGGAAAAAAGTACAATGGTACCCAGTTTATTATATGGGGTTGAGGTATCAAAGAAAGTTGTGTAGGACTGTCATAAGTCGGTCCACCGTGACTCCCTGGTTGGGTCATACAGATGTTGCAACTCAGTGCCTCGAGATGTTATTTTATATATATATATATATATATATATATATATATAAATAAAAAACGCTAGTCTGACAATAAGGGAATTGTTCACAAAGAACTAAATTCGCCTCTATACATCTTAGTAAGGAAAAAAGTACTGATCAACAATATAACCATTTTCATCAGTGAAAAATCACATAATCATCGAACTTAATTTTATTTTAAACAATTTAATGTGTACACAAATCTTGAGAACAAAATCAAATAGAAAGTACCTATGTACAATGGTGACTGATTCAGATCAATAGTCGTTGTAATGACTCAAAGCGTAAAGAGCAGCGCGACCATTACATTGTCCAACACAAAGAAATCGCCCACCAGGACTAAATCCAATTGATGTGGGTTTGTTTAAAGTACCAACACGAGCGGGAAAGTTTTCAAAGATTATACTTTCGTTTACATCATACTGAAAATAAATATGCACAAAAAGAAATTAAACAGGAAGAAAAATAGCGAAATCGATATGAAGCTATTAAGAGATAAAGAAAAGGTTGATCATTGAATGTCAATATTCAAATGCATTATACCCCAACTAAACTAATATTAACAAAATCTCGTTATATAAAATAATCAACCATTTTTAATTTAATAACACAAGTGATGATGAAGGTTTAAAGAAAACCTCGATTAACACAAGATAGTAATCAACTAGCTTTTGAAATTGACTCCATCATTAATTCGATTCTAATTCAACCACTGTTCAGTGAATGGTAGACATCTAAGGAATTAGAATTCATTACAAAACGTTACTACTAGTATTCGATAGTTGTAAGTATATTTTCCTACTGACATTAGGGTGACATGTCTCAATAAGGCTAAATTGATGGAATTTTACATAATGACTAGTTCAACTGTCAACTACATAAAATTGTGATGAGAAATTTAAGATTAAAGATAATCGAAAGAAATATTCCAAGAAAAGATGATATATTAAGGAAGCATTTCGATGTCCAACATTTGCTGTGGTCATAAAATCAAATACGATAGATAATATTAACAAGCAGAGCATAGTGGATACAATTCAACATTCGACCTTATTAATGATTATCTATGTGAATATTAAAGATGATAAAAATCTACTATTAAACATCAAGCACATCTATAAGCTACATGAAAGCCTACCATTATAAATATGAATGAAAATAAATTTTAAAATATTAGAACGTGTTAAAGTATGAATCAGGTAGTATTTTAAAGGTCACTGATCAACTGAAACATTAGTTTAACCGGCAATATGTAAACCACATTTTATCGCCTCAAAGGAAGAGAGAAATAGGAAATTTTCATGCCTATAATCAAACATCGGTGTTTGAATTAACTTTTAAACTTTAGGCACTCACAAGCCACTTGAAACTCAAAAATGTAAGGAGACAATAATACAACTAAAAGATACACTTCAAAATTAGTATTACACGCATAGACTAGGGATGATTTATATGGATATAGGTGATTTCTCAATTCGGAAAGATGGTGTAACACATGGTAAAATTAGTAGCAATGTATGCAATTGTTCAATTAGATAGTGTTATACACTGAATTTAATGACATTTAAAGTTTACATAAGACACTGACGAACCAGAAATCAATGTTTTAGATTATAAGCTTATATATGATTTCAAGAGGTAAGTTATTGTCGATGTCAACAAAAAATACGTCAGTATTTCTCTCAATGAAGCATATGTGTTATTACCACTAACAATTTTTTAACTGAATCAGAATCCGTTCATTCCATAACAACAATAACTTCGCCATGATTGAACATGAGACTGTATTATATGAGAGAGATTGAGAATCCATCAGGATAGGATATTGTTTAAACTCCGAAAATATACGCCTATATTTTTTTGACGGAGATCAGGCAGAACGCACTAGTTTTATAAGTAGTAGACAGGTGCTTACCCACAAGTTTTTGGGAAAAAGGGATCATAATAAGTGCTTTAACAACTACTGACATGGGAATAAATTTATGAACCAGATCAAATTGTTACCGTACACTGACAGACAACGAGGAAGGCCACAAGATCCTAAGAGTACATTTCAATTTAACGACCATTTATTTTCATCATCTCAAAAATCTCTGTTGACCTTCCAAAACTAGTCGAAGTACTCTTCGGACCTTCAAATGATAGTAATAATTCACAATATTGAATTGCACTGGAAACAGCCCCTGCCTATTGTTTTAACAAATAAATTAACTTTGATTCGTCAGTTAACTCTTTATTAGACAGATACATCACTAAGACTCTTATAAAACACACGTATTCTGTGGGGTCTCCGTCTAAAAATATAGGTGTATACTCTGTTAGCTTCACTGAGAACTTATGTAATGATTTGAATAAAAAAATTAATCGGGATAATTAATTAACCTATTCGTCAGGTGTTTGAGAATGAGCCATACTCAAAGTGTGCGGGCTACTGATACCACTCGGTTGCCCAAGCCGAAATAGGTAAAGCGGAGTTTGAAATTGAAACTTAGTCCGTGAAAGTCAAAAGTTTTAACCGACACATGACACTTTAATAAATTATCCAAATATGACAGCTATTAGGAAAACATACAAGTCGAACAGCATCCGGACGTTGTGAAGAAGCCAGACAGAGAATTTCATTAGAGGGATGAAAACAAAGCGAATTAACACCGGTAACTAAATTACCAATAGCTTTATCAGGTAGCGGATTCTCTGTATTCATCGTAGATGACCATTTGTAAACATTTACATAACCGCTATCTGCCCTGTTGAGTAAAAGCACATAAAAAGTATGATAAATTATAATAAATAAAAAAACAGAAATTCCTTGTGTATAAATAAATTATGATTGTATTGGAACTAGTTGACGAAGCAAACAGCTTTCTGATGAATTCATAATCAGAGAATCAAACTTACAATAATGGTTATGCTATCAATAACAAGAAAAGAACATTCTGACCAATAAATTCTGTACTGATGGACAAAATTTGTAGTTCAAAACGAATATTTTGATGTTGTACTCAGTGAAGATGGTATTACTGTGAAACTTTCATTGTCTTTCTGAACAATGCCAAGATTCCTTACCTAATTGATGTAACTAAAGATAAGTTGAAAACACAGGCAATTGAAGTGACTCTTCATGTGATAAAATTGCTCATGAATCATTACTAGTTCTAATCATCTTACCAGAAGGGATAAAGATAAGTTCGTCAGTTGGACGGGTAATCCAAGAGATTTACCTCTCGATTACAATTGTATAACATCCATTTAATCGAAGAAAATAATTAGAATGCAAAATACGTGCAGTTTATAATCTATTGTGAATGATAAAGAATAAAATCTACTTTGACATTGAAAGTTGTGTAAAACAAGACAGAAATTTAAAGAATATTTGAATGCAATATGATAAAAATTACTTGAGACAAATTAGAATGATTAATTTCAGTTCATCTTAAAATGTGTAATTATTCAATTTGATGCTGATTGAAAAAAAGCGTAGTATGTAGCATTTTATGTCAAATGTATAAAAAGCTCATCGTAAACAAAATGTTGTAATTACCATATCAGTGACAAATAGATTGTCGTAGAAAAGTACACTGGTTGAAAAGATCATAACTTCCTACAGTGCACTTAGGGAAATCAATAAAAAAGAATAGAGACTAAAGTAAACAAGGATATGAAGTAGGATAGGGAATCATATGGAAAGTGATAGGGTATCCAGAATTTGGACCAACAAGATTTGGGTACTTCGCTACTTTGGTCAAACTTGATCAATGCTACGGAAGGCTTTCCTGACTATTGATTTCTGTCATACCGATAACCTTATTCACAGTATAAGCCTTCCTACAGTACACAGACGAATAGTTAATATCGTCATGAACTAGTGTCATCTCACGATTTAACCCTTATCTACCTTCCAGCTTTATTTTACTTTAACCGCACTATACGTCAAATCAAGTAATTAGTTCACATCGATCAACCTGATCAGTGGCTTTTCACAATCAAGCGGTTTGAAATATTGTCTATCCCGAAAAATTACAGTAAATCTGAATCAAGACGACAAGTTCAGCTCCTACAATATTACATTTAGTAAGCATGAGCTTGCAGATTTAAGTAGTAAGTTGATTCATACAAGTCGTGCATGAGTAAATGTTATAATAGTTAGCTAGCAAAATCGCAAATCAACAGTTTGTAACAAACTGTTACATGTAAATTATTGCAGATTTCTTCTGTTTACAAGGTCAGTATAGATAGAAATACTGCCTAAACAAACCGGACTTAAAATATGGCTAAAAACCGACCATTTCAGACATTAAATTGTAAAACTAATCAAGACAAATGGTTCTTTCGAAATCACAAACTTACATCGATAGTCTATCAAATAAAGACATTTCCGATAATCTCTTTAATAAATCGTAAAGATTTAATCTAATTGACCAGAATTCTTGATCTAAATTTACACAAACACACAAACAAACAAACGCGTGACAGCGCGAATAAATTAAATCGAGTAGAGATTAATATTTAGAAATCACATGGAAATAAAAAGGTTTGAAACGAGAAAGCGCCCTACACGCAATGTTCATTTCATTTCAGAACTTAATGTAAACAATGAACAGATGAATAACAACAATAAGTTTTCAATGCTTGGAAAATATCACAATATATCTCAAAAGTGAGTTTGTTTTGCCCTGAAAGTGATATTTTTAAAATGAGTATACTGAGAAATAATTAAATTCTACAGATTAGATAAATTCTATTTTTAAAAAATAAGGAAAAAGTGGGGAAAAAAGAAATGAATGAAACTATTCGGTAAATAGTGCCTTATATTAGTTTAACATTCATCTATTAAATAAACAAATAGACAACACTGAAAGTGAATAAAACATGAGAAACAAGTAAGTTAGGAGATCATAAGAGATTTTTAAAATTTCACATTTTTTAATCGAGCATTTAGATTATTTAGTATTACTAGATTGCTACGTTTGAAGATATCACGACATCGCCTAAAACCGGCGAACGGAATGAAAGTCAGCAACACTACAACAGGACAAGCTATGCTATCCCACTGCGCCCCAGTCTTGATAACTAGAGGAAGAAGATCATAGTCAGCTGAGGGAAATGTATATTCCACAACTCATGTGTATATATACAGTGCAAAAATATCCTTGGAAAACACCACAAAATAGCGTACTAAAAAAAGGGAACGAACCAATGACATTTAAGGTCCTTCCAAGTAAAAAATACAAACTGAAGGTAAAAGTGGGCGCTTTTGTCGCGAAAATTTGGAAGTTCAAACTTCCAAAATAAGACGTTTACTAAATGATTTCTGGGGATCTAGCATCCTTAACATAGATATATGAATTTTCCAATGAGTGGAAAATAAAACAGAGTTGTTTTTACTGATGATAACAGTCTTATCGAAGCACCAGTCAACTAGAATTTACATATATCTCAGCTCATACATTATAATCCCATCAAAGTTCTTTTATACAAAGTAATTCTGCGTTGTAGAGCGACTGGATTGATAAGGAAAACAGACATGTAGATTGTTAGATTTGGTGAATTTAAAAAATATAAGAAACAGCATGTGTTAATGTGAAGAAAAATCCTCATCATATCCGTATTGACAAAGTTCGCTTGTGGAAGGAGTGTTTTGCAGCCAGTTCAAATTTTGTCTTATACACTTATTCCTAATCAAACTTAATTTTATGTAAAGTATTTTTCCTACGAGACGTTCCCTATGATTTTTGACATTTTCCTGAACGATTTCAATGTGATTCTAGTCAGTCTTATGGTCTGATATTATAGCAAGTGAATCTATAGCCGGTTTTCCATTGTCCAAGTTTCTCAGTGATCGAACAGAGGCTATACGATAGTTACTTTTTGATACTGATTTCTCGAGAATTTTGTCCGATTTATATTGAGTCACATCCTGAAAATCATATTTCACAGATACGATTAGATTGTGAATTCTCCGGTGTTTTGACTTTCGGATGAACGAATTCGCTTTGTAGTATATAATGCTTTAAAGAATACCCTGAGGTTACATTTGTTGAGATTTCAGCTGTGTGTTCTGTATACAATGATGATTGTTGTAGTTCATGATTCCAGAGTAATTTTTCGGTTAGGCTTAATATTTGTTCCTATTTTGTGAACAAAATTTATTGGATAGCTAGCTAGTCCTTGTTCGATTTCCTTCATGTTTGCTATCAAAGTGTGTGTCCTTCTTAAAAGAATGAAGACAACTGGTGTAGTGTAACGGTTAAAAATCAAGATATTCGCCAAAGTTTATTTTCTTACTGAACAGTCATACTAAAATATCCATTTTCTTTACGTTTAACTAAGCGATTCAGTGCTATCTGATCCTAAATCTGAGGTAAACTTAAAACTGGGCGATTCATTGTTCAGTTTCCCCAAAAACAAGTGGTGTATAATACCACGAAAGTATCAACGTGTTTTCAGGTATATTTCTAGTTTAAGTATGCTTAAGAATACACCGAATGTACACCTGCATGTATTTATGAATAGATTTGCAACTAAAGATGATGCAGGTGACCGCATCGCTACTCTAGTTGTTTGTTGATATAAGCTCCCTCTAAATATACAGTAATTCGTTTCGAAGAAAGATTTTATGGCCTTGGTTATCTAGCTGGTGTTCAGTGTACATATTTTTGGTAGAATGTCTGATTCTATCAAGCTAAAAATGATATTAAGACTTTTGACAATAGGAGTTCTAGTATAAAGTCAGATCAAATCATTGCTCATTATAATTCCACATTTGTCAAATTTCTGGTTTGTTATTTTAACTATTAAATCAAATAGATCCTTAACTATATGTTATATGTGTATTTTTGTTACCCAATACCTAGATATTTTCAAATCACCATGTCTAAACTTAGTTTCGATAGCTAGGCGAAAATTTGGACTACTTAAGAATTAACTAGACCAGAATAACTGCAATACAGAAAATTATGATTATTTAAGTTCGCAGATTTATTTTTAACATGTAATAATCAACAATAATAGTCTAATTAGTGAGTTGCTGATTAATGGTTAGGAATCAAGTGGTCCTGTCTAGTGAATAACAGTCGATTGTTCACTATAATAACAATAATCATAATAATAATAACAATAATAATAAATAACAAATAGATTTTAAAGATCGTATCATGAAGTCACTGTGTTGACTAAAGTTCTTATAATTTGCTATTCAATATTCAGGAGGTGGTAGTGCGTACTGAGTAATATTTATTCCTTAGGTTAAAGATGAAGAAACTCTATACAATAGAATTTAGTTTTACACAACAGTTAGTTCACTGTTTAAAGTCAATAAACAAGGTGCTCTGACAATATCATCTGTACTGACGAAAAAAAGTAGAATCAATGAGTGACTTATGCCCTTATAACATGAAATTATTTAAGGTGAAAAGTATTTCTAAGAGAGTATATATATGCGGATTAAAATCCACTTTGCAACTTCATCAAAATACTACACAAACAGAGTATAGAAACGTTATATTACTGAATATGTATAAGAAGTAGTATTATGTTTAAGAACTAAATGATAATAAGAAATAAATGTATCTAGACCACTTTGACTGATGCCGAGATACTTCTAGTCGTCCAACCATTGATTACAGTTATTTTAGTGACAACAATTAATATATATTTGAACCTCAAAAACAGAAAAGTTAATAGTTAATGAATTTGTAGATTGGTGTTCTATAATAATCTCATTGCTTCCGATCTTTTTTCCAACTTACCCCACCCCTCGTAAACTACTTAGTACGGAACATCAAAATAGACAGTGGTCAGATATCTGTTATCTACATTTCAATCATCTCAGTTAAGATAGATTCACAGTATAGTCAACCTATTTAACAATTGGACAGAGATTGAGTAACATAATTATAGATAGATGACGTGAATTAATTATCAGTAAAATGTAACATGTAGTTATGGTGGTATCTATGGCTCATTAACTAACAACAGTAATGCCTTAACACAACACTTAACAATATATAAATATTTAATATGTATTAAATTTAATTCACACAAACGGTGTTGTTTATCTGAATTTATAAAGTAAAGATATAACTCGACTATTAGTCAAGCATTTGCTAACGATTACCAATTTTCATATAATTTTGATCATTTGTAGACGATTAGTTAAGATCAATTATCTTACCCACAAGCAATCCATTGTGAATTAGGTGAAGAAGAGATAGATAAACCATTTGTACTGGCTTGATCAAACCAACGATGAATAATTCTAGCTTTATTAACTCGTAGATCAAATACATAGATAGAACCTTCAGCTAAAATTAACCAGATGAGAAAACTATTAAAACTAACAGAAGTAAATTGTAAATTTAAAACGAGATAGTAAACAGTTATCATTGATTATATGAATTATAAAAGGTAAGTAGGACACAAAACATTATTATTACAATGAAGCACCGACTTGAGAGAGCCCTTATTATGATACTCTCTTAATCAGATGAGGCTCAAACTTCCCGGTTAGGATTTGTAGAATAACCGTAATCCATGGTCAGTGAACTTAGGTGATATAGTTCAAGACTATCCTTATCGAAAACCATCCATTCATTTTTTTAACCTCCTCAAAGTACTGAGTATGAAAATATTTTACATTTTATGATTTCGTGAGTTTTTTTACAATTTGCATTTATTTAGTTGACCACTACCATTATTTTATTTCTTATTTTGTCAATTTATTCTTTTGGCGATATGAACTTTGACAACGCGAACAGATGCATATTTGTACCAAGTCTAATGATAATTACTTTTATCTGTCTGTTCAGTATATTTGCTACATTTTCATAATAGTGACGATCAGAAAAGATGGCCGAGCATAAATCATGCTACAAGTATGGATAAAATTCGTGGAAACATTAACCCAATTTTTGTTCAACTTTCCCGCTGGTTTAAACTCATTCAACCAATTTTGACTAACTGGACTTTACTGATATTAGTTGCAAATACGTTCCAACCAGACAGTCATCAATGTAAGGTATGGCACGTTTTACATCAGCACACATAGAGGAAATGAACAACAAGAAAAATATGCGACAGTGAGTAATTTCGAAAACAACAAAAGTCTGCAGATGGGAAACAGTTCAAAAGGATGAGATCGAAGAATGGAGTTACATATGATTACGGTAGTTTTCCAACCGAATACCTGTATTCTAGTGTATATGAGTTGAACCATTTACATTGCAAATTATGCGAAACAATTTGATGTTAAATAATCAATATACAAAAACACGCATCATATTTTCTCCTTCATTACTCAAAGGAATGTGCAAATAAAACTAAACAAACTATTCAATATAAAGCTTTGTTTTGAAACTTACCCCCATAAGTATTCAAAAATGTTCCATCTTGGGTGAAACAAATTGAATTGGTTATACCACTTGCTCTCATAACTGAAATTTTTTCTAAACTCTGTAAAAACAACGGCGAGAAATAAGACAAACTCATTCATTTTAGGATGATTCATCATTTTCTAACTTATGAAAGAACTGTATTTCATTGTACTTTAAATGTAATCATCGTTATTTTCAGACCCTTGTATAGGAGACACGATCAACTCGTGTGGACAAGAATATGAGGTACATACACAAGTAAACTGATGATACACAAGAGATAATCAGTATCATACTAGACAGGTTGAGCTTGGATCTTCAAATACTCATTAAATGGTACAAACTTTATTATCGATGTTATCTGAAATAACACTGCTTCATCCTGGAAGTAAAATTAACAACACTGACAGCTTTTCTTCATATGAAAGCGTCTTACGGATAGTAGTGAGTGGTAAACAACAATATGTGCCAAAATAAGATGAAAATCGATGATTGTTAGTTCTTTTAATTAATAAGTGTTAGTTTTTAAACCAAGTTGATAGTCATATTTAGATGAGTGAACAAAGAAATTTGTAATGTATCATGCACTGATGTTTCCAAAGAAAAAAATCAAAAACAACTTACAGGCAACCTATATTGTCAACACTATTTACTGAAGATTTCAAAAATATACCACAGGGATAGGTGGGATAATATTTATATATCTATGTATACACATATACTAATCGAACTAATAATTAATAAGAAACAAGAAGATTATGATTTGTTTAACTAATATATCAGTAGTTTAAATACGTGCATATGAACGGAATCAAATTAATAATGTAACTAATTTATCAAGTACAGATTTTATCTCCTCGGCTATAAATCACATTGTTTTTATGATGGCTAGTGATATTATCCGGCTGCCAAAATCGAAGTACGTGGAGCAGGATTTGAGACTATGATCTACTAGTTGAATGTTACGAACACCAACCCACAGCTTTGCTTAGATGACCAACTCGTTTTTTTTACATAGAAAAGTAAATCATTCCCTATCTTGGGAGAACTCAATAGAATTACTAGATAACCAACTTATTAATGTCACATTCAGTTAGCATAAAAAATGATTTACTCTCTTTAAAGACAAGGTAACTATTTTGAAATAAGTAGTTTAAACTAACTCGTAAATCGGCCAGATACACAGCACTTCCATTGGTTCCCAGGGCTACCAAATTTGGATGAACTGGTGAAATAAAACATTTAGTGATTGTTTCGTCTGTTGATGAACCAATAAATCGTCTTGCACGACTTTCATTTCCAGTTTCTAAATTATAAATCTATCAGACACATAAATAACAAACAAAAAACTCATTTCGAAAAAAAGAACAAGAAACAAACAATACAGTAAGCAGAATTTTTAAAGTCTAATTCGGTCGAACACCAGCTTGATAAAAAAAACTGTGTAGTGTTTTACTAAAAACACTGGTACCATAAAACGAGTGTATACGATAAGGTATCCCACACCATACAAACAGATAACAACAATCAGTAGTATGCCACAGGTCGTGTATAAAAAAAGGAAGGCATACGTATTAAATAATGCTGTGAAGTTTTAGAAAAATTCACCAAAAAGAGTGGTTTATTATATTGCCAGTGAAACATGTGCATTGATAACACTTAACTTAACTACTCCACAATAAAATAGTACTTCCGATTGTGTCCCAATGATTGACTTCCATCACAATTTGCAAACTGTTTAAAGCCACTAAAAGGCTGATTCGTTACAAGAGGGTTAATTTATATTTTCGGTCGTGAATGTATTGACCCAGTCTTCACACTGATAAATATTGAAACATCGTCATATTTATTTCAGGCAAACAATTGTTATTATTCAACTTGTTGAGCAGGACTATTTTATTTATTTATCTGAACACATAAATATTGGTACAAGGGGACACCAAATACATATGCGCCACACAATACAGTATTATGGGATTATCCATTTAAGGAGGGTATCTAGAGAGTTTATTAACATATTAAGGCATCTATGTACAAGCAACTCGGGTAAAGCGAGAACATGCAACCACGTCTCCCCATTGTTCAATCCCAGCAGTGGGGTTAGACATTTTCTTAATCTTACTATTCTACTTCAAATTTCCCACCGATGACACTTTGGAAAAAGTAGTGGTGGAGAAAGAAGTGTAAATATTTAATACCCCAATCATTTTGTCTTACCATAGGATGACACTCAAGCTATGCAATCCACACTTAATCACTTGACAATTAATGTCAGTAGGTTTTTTATGTTCTAATTAACGTCCAAATGCGAAATAATCTTCCAGCACCGGAACGAGGCCCTAACTGCACTCGCTCTTTATGGTAAACCGCTAAAAGTGGTCGAAAAGTCGATGAATCGAGGCGCCCTTATCATGTTAACCTGGTTGTAAAACATTCAGATTACAACACAAAAGTGAGATCAGTATTTCCTCTACACTTTTCAAACCTAGACTATACAAGTTCATAATGTTAGACGACACTCTATTCTTCATTATCTTTGTTTCCGAAGCATTGCTGACATTTACTGCAAACATCGTATCATTAAAGCTCAAGTTCACCAACGCATGTTCAGGTACAGTGACCATAAATCACTTCGTGTCACCATCTTCGAACACTGACTTGGACATTTCTTATGAATATCATAACAGCGACTCTCACATCATGCTTTATTTGCCAACGCTGAAACCGGTTGGAAAAAAGTACAATGGTACCCAATTTATGATATGGGGTTGAGGTATCCTGTACTATATCCTTATATGCAATCTTTCTTTTATATATTACCACCTCTGAACTAACTACTTTTATGAATCCGGTGTCCATCTTGTTGTGTTAATGAGGTATGGCTACTTGGTCCGATGCATATATGCGCCTGGTCCTCCGTTGTACCTGACTGACTGACTATCAAAGAAAGTTGTGTAGGACTGTCATCAGTCAGTCAGTCAGCTACAACGTAGGACCAGGCACATATATGCATCGGTCCAAGTTGCCATACCTCATTAACACAACAAGATGGACACCGGATTCATAGAAGTAGTTACTTCAATGATAGTAATATATAAAAAGAAAGATTGCGTAGAAGGATATAATACAGGAAGAAAGAATTAGTTCGTAGAAAGAAAGGTATAAAGTAATTTTAATCTCACAGTTTAAGGGAAGACAGTGAGTGTATACACCTACGCCATTGTGATCGATTCTGAGCCATGTCACCAAGAGTCTCCAGCCATTGGTTACGATAGTCACGCGGACCCCAACCAAGTAGTCTGCATCTACCAACATGGCTCAGACTAGAAGTTAGTGATATCAAGCACTGATGCCACGTTTTGGTTTCGCCGCCTATTACTTTCTTCCAACCATTTCCAATACCGGATAGAATTGCACGTCGTGGTAATCGGTGTTCAGGCATACGTAACACGTGGCTCAACCATCTCAGTCGATGAAGATTTGCAACCTCATCAACTGATTTACCATCATTACCTAATACCCTGCGTCGAACCTCACTATTACTTACCCGGTGATCCCAACAGACGCCAGCGATATTTCTAAGGCATCTGTAGCCAAATACTAGTAGCTTACGAGTGTCTTCTACTCTTAATGGCCATATTTCGCTGCCGTAAAGTAAGACAGAACGGACTGCCGCGCAGTATACTCGTCCTTTTATTGATAGACGGATATCTCGCCTTCGCCATAGGTGACGCAAGTTGGCAAAAGCCAATCGAGCTTTTCGAATCCGTGCTGAGATTTCGTCAGACACCAACCCATTAGGGCTGATCAAACTTCCAACATAAGTGAAGTTGTCAACGCGTTCGACTACTTCATTCCCTATCCTTAGTTCAGGTGTTGACGCAGACCAGTCCTGAAGCAACAACTTGCATTTAGAGGGAGAGAAGCGCATTCCAAACATTCTGGCATTGTTGCTTAGTGCTACCAAAAGACTCTGCATTTTGTCAGCGTCTTCACCAAACAGGACTATATCATCTGCGTATTCTAAGTCGATAAGTGGACCTCCTGGAAAGAGATCAATACCCGAGAACTCAGTCGACGAGAAAGTTATTTCCATCAGTAGATCTATGACGAAGTTAAACAAAAATGGAGAAAGTGGACAGCCTTGATGGACAGCACTTGAGGTTGCAAAAGTAGATGACAGTTCGTCATAAGCTCTGACTCGACTAGTAGTGTTCGAATAAAGAGTCTTCACAAGGTTTATGTACTATTGGGGTACGCCTTTCAATGAGAGACACTGCCACAGAATCTCGCGGTCTACCGATTCAAATGCTGCTTTTAAGTCGAGAAAGACCACCATTGTCGGACGCCGATAAGTATGCCTGTGTTCTAGAACCTGACGAATGGTGAATATGTGGTCGATGCAGCCACGACTAGTTCTGAAGCCAGCCTGATTTTCTCGTGTCTGCAGTTCACGAGTCTTAGTTAGGCGTCGTATAATTATCGAGGCTAGTATTTTAGATATTATATTAGTTAAACTAATCCCTCTATGGTTGTCACAAGATGATTTTAACCCTCTCTTATATATTGGGACGATAAGTGATTGTGACCAGTCAGATGGAATAACGTCTAACTCCCAGATCTTTGCTAAAATATTAGTCAACCTAATTGCTAAAATTGGACCACCATCCTTAAAGACCTCTGGAGCCAATCCGTCCGGACCAGCTGTCCTTCCTCGTTTCAGATTAACTATAGCCTTTTCAACTTCAGCAAGAGTTGGGGGACCTACTTCAATGTTCCATTCACACTGTCTGGGAATGGAGGGTAGTTGTAGAGTAGCTGGAGGCCAGCTGAACTGTTTCCTAAAGTGTTTCGCCCATCGTTCTAAACGTCCGGACTGAGAGCAGATGAGAGTATCGTCTTTTTCCGAAATAGTCTGACTGACACTTGATTTATTAACTCCAGTTTCTTTTATTAGTCTGTAAAGCTGTCTTGTGTTCCATATAGTCGCCGCCTCTTCCATCTCTTCTGCTTTTGTTGCCCACCACTACTCACGGTCGTTTCTTGGACTTTTTCTTAACCTAGATCTGGTTTGTTGTCGCTCTTCATCGTGTTCAGAACCTGATGGGACGAGTTTGCGAGAATCCATCAGTGTGATAGACTTTGAAGAAATCCACTGGTTTTTTGTAACCCTGTGGTTTAAGTCACTAATAGATGTCACTGCTATTTCCACAGCTGTTTGTATATCTTTCCAAGCAACATCTGGGTCAGCCTCGTTTTCAGAACTACCTAAGTGTGACCTCAGTTGTTCCTGGAACCTACTTTTGGTTTCCTCGTTACTCAACTCGGTTCTAATGGGTTTTTTTAATGTGGCGTTTTTGCGTTCAGTGAGGCGCAAGTAGATGCGTGCCCGTATTAGGGCACGGTCGGAGTCCAAGCAGGTACTCCAGAATGAGCGACAATCTTCTACCGACCCTCTCCAACGACGACTGATGGCAATATGGTCTATTTGAGTCCATCGTTGGTTTGGTGTAGGGGGGCGCCATGTTAATCGATGTCTCTCCTAATGCTTAAAATTTGTGTTTGCTAAAAATAAACGATTGTCATAAGTCGGTCCATCATGACTCCCTGGTTGGATCAGACAGATGGTGCAAATTAGTGACTTGAGACATTATTAGACATGGCTCAAAAAAGATGGCAATGGTAGTCCTGCCATAATCTTCATTTACATGTTCCGTAGAAGTGAAAGAAATCTCTTTAACTAAAAGAACTCTTCCTAGTTCCATTTTTTCAACTAATTTGTTTTTTCCATCATAATTTATTCCCGACAACATATTTCCATTCATCTATTTACTAGACTATAATCTCCTTTCTTCCTCTATTCTTTCACTATCTCTTTCCCATATTTGTGTAGCACATATTCATTTTAATTCCCATTTGTACCGATAAACAGCTGGAAGTGAAATCAACGTTCTACTTAGTACAAGTAACCTAATAATAACAGGTTACAAGTATTTGTCTCAGTAAATCTTTATGAGGAAGTTGGAGAACATAGACACTATAAATCTAATAACTGTTCATAATTACAAATCAACATTAATAAAATTTACTGTGACCAGAAAATCAAGAAAAATTAAAACAGGATTAAAACCTACTTACACGAAACGAGCCAACATTCCCGGTAAAAATAACTTTATCACCGTAAGCTGTAAACTTAGCTGAGGAAAGAGAAAAGTTTTCATACACACGATCACGCAGTAGTGCATTTTCCGAGCCATCAACCTATATTTCAACAGGACATAATATAAATGATAATTAAACTTCATAGGATTATGTAATTTCACTAATCGATGAATACGATATAGTGCTTTAACCATTAGGTCAAGGTGAGAGCAATCACTTAGAATTTGGAAGTACGAGATATCCCCTAGCCCTAATGTGTAATTAAACCATAATCAAACAAGACCACTATAAGGTACAGCAACATTGATAATGTAAGCGACAAAATTACTGAAAATAACTTACAAGATTTATTATAAATATTCGCAGTATTCAAAACTGGAACTCGATAATCAATGCGAAGTTCCAAAGGCATGAAAAGATAAGGACGCAGACTTTGAATCTGACGACCTGAAAAAGCTTACCTCGGATTAAGAAAAGCGTCTCAAAACTACTCTAAAAATGTATATCCACCTACACATGAGTAGGCTGTGAAACTAAAAGAATAAAATGTAGATTCTTACAACGAAATCGAAACGTTTTGAAATGATTGTCTTGATGATGTTTGCCACAAAACAGATGTCGATGTTCCTTTTTGATTAAATATTCCCAGGTATACAGTGACTATGAAACCAAGTGGGTGCCTGAATCTCCATCAATCACACATTGGTCTACTCGAATCTCCGAAACGATAAGATGTTACTCTATGACATGTGGACTTATGTAATAAGTCTATTAATCCATTTGATAATGAATGATACAACGGAGGGAAAAATTATTTTTTGTTACGATAATGGGACCGGTGATTGAGATTGTACTTGGTCGCTATACTATACACAGACGAGTCACGTTACGCCAGATATGCGGTTCACAACCAATAATAGGGAACCAGTATTTATTTATTTTACCACATAAATATTGGTACAATGAGGCCACAAATAGATATGCGTCACGCAGATCTCATTTGATGTGTGTGAGGGTTGTGGTACTGCCCGGGTGCCCAAACCGAAACAGGGAACCAGTATAGACTAGAAAGTGCTTTATTCAACACAATTATAGGTGGTCTATATTCAGTGAATTCAAAGCAGAAATCTGTAGCAACCAAATCGCATAATTAACAGACAGTGAGCTGAATGTCTATCAGTTCACGCTCGTTGGTGAGTTACATTTACTTTCACTAGCGACATATCAAATACACAATAATTGGTTTGGCAAACGAGTCAAAAGAAAATGAATCTAACTTTTGGAACTGTGATATATGCTTATTATTTCGACAGAGGTTAAGTTTGTTTATGTAAAACAAACTATACACATACGAAGATTAAAAGTGATGTTTAACCTCAAAAGCAATCCCAATTTACACTTATAATTTCAGCACGAAATAGACAATTTGGTTCATCCTATGTATATTTTTCAGTCATATGATGATACTCTATACTTTGAATAGGACTTAAACAAAACTTTCAACATTGGTAAAGTATTCAAAAGGTCAATGAGGTATTACAAAGAATGAGTCTACTATCGACAACTGAACTTGAATGACTTCAACTTGGTAACATCCAAGGAGTTAAAACTTGAAAAGTGATCATTACCTTATAACCCGAAATACAGATTTCAAACCAGAATTTGAGTCACTGCTTTTTCTGAGGCTTAATCATATCAACCAGCTGTTTGGACTCGAGTAGACGGTTTAGGTTTGAAAACCAGTAATCCACCGTTTCATTGAAAGGTGAAGTTCTCAACGTATTACGTAAACTCCGTCTGGAGTCCCTCCGAGGGCTACTGCCGGTCCCAAGCCCGGATAAAAGAGGAGGGATGGGCATGGGGTTAGCGACCCCATCCCGTAGAAGGCTAACTCGCTAAAAAACGCTAACCAGAAAAAATTATTCAAACCTTAAATAATCGGACTAACATAAAAATATCCTCAGTAAAAACAATCCAGTGAAGCTGCACAAGTTACGTATCGATATTAACACGATAGTCACCAAGACTTGGGTAAAACCTGCCAAAGAAAGTCAGGATAAACCCCGCTGTAACTAACAATTAACTTCCTATCTTATATCAGCTGATGACTTAACAATTTAAGTATGCATGAACACTGAGTCAGTTGATAAACATTAATATTTAAAACAAAACAGTTGGATGCGGTTTCAAAGGTTATAGAACACCTATAGTAAATCAATATCACCTTGAAAAAAGCCATAGTACTATCTACGCTTGCAGTTAAAAGCATACGGTGGTGTGTATTGAACTCAGTTGATACGATTGAAGCCATTGACCTTCTCTCACGATTGACATCACTAAGTCTCTTAACGCCTATTTCTTTTCCGTAAGAGAGTATTTTAGAGCCTTTTTCATCACATGCAGCAGATTTCCGAGAGGAAATGCAATTCCCTTCATCATCTGAGCCAACTGATTTCACGTTTTTAAGCTGATCTATTTTTGCAAACACGTCTAAGGCTCGTGGAGGCCTACAAAATAAGTTAACAGAACCAAACACACCGAATTGATATTTGTGGAGTAATATCATCGTCATCCGTCCACGCAGGTTTCAAAACTTGATCTTCTTCCTTAGCCTTTTTTGTGCATTTTTTCTTCCCGGTCTTTGCACTTTTAATCAAAGTTTTAGGTCTTTTACGCTGCCGAAATATGTAAAACAACTGTACCTACCGAAAGCTTTGGGACTTTTGTTACTATTTCAAAGTCATCCGTAGAATTAGCGATGCCGAATTTGAGCATTGGTCAACCACGCGCTGAGACCCAAAAGATGCGCTTGTTTACAAGGTCAAGGTGGTATTTCAAATGGTTCAAATGGTCGTGGGCGGAATAGAAAAGCTTTCACTTAACGGGCTTCCGTACCTAATAGTAGTGGATCACCGATATCTTCAGGCAGGGACCTAGATATATCAGCAATAACAGAGGAAGAAGATATTGATAACTCCTTATTCCTTAACAACAGATTCAGATTTGTGTAGCGAAAATAGAAGGCCTACGGCCTATGTTATTCCTTTTCTAGTATGCTTCTGTGAGTGTCCAGTCTTCTTTGGAACAGTCAATTGAAGGTACGGACACCACTGCTTCAGGCAGCAGGTTCCAAGTGTTGATGACTCGATGTGAAAACCTGTATGCCACGGGTATTTTGTTCGTTATTGGCTTTTCTACTCGCCTGCTATGTCCTCTGAGATGTCCCGATCTAGTGGGAAGAAAAAAAGAGAATACGTTAGGTCCGAAATCATTTCTCAGTATTCTGTACATCATAATTAGATCTCCCCTTAGTCTGCGATAGGACAGAGTAAAGAGGTCCAGCTATTCAAGCCGCTCTTTGTATGATAAACCCCGGAGTTCTGAAATTGCTCGGGTAGATGCCCTCTGTACTTTTTCAAGGATATCCGAGTCACTTTGCAGACAGGGACTTGCAGCCTGAACGCAGTTCTCTAGCTTAGTCCTCACTAAGGATGTGTATACTATGGTGAACTTGGTAGTATCTAACTTAGTGAATGTCCTTTTTAAAGCCCAGAGGGTTCGAAACCCCTTAGCTGAGACCTCCCGGCAATGGGCCGTCGTCTTAAGACCATTACTCGCTGTCACCCCCAGATCCTTATGAGACCGGATTACGGGTGATGGCACATCCCCTATATTGTAACTATTAACCTTTGAATCCCCATAGTGCACGTAGACACACTTTTCCGCGTTGATAGGCATCAGCCATTCTTTAGACCAGTTTACCATATTATTTAAGTTTGCCTGAAGAGTAAATGCGTCTTTGTCTCCAGTTATTACTCGCCAGATTTTTACATCGTCAGAGTATAATAACATTGGAGATTGCACTATACTTGTAAGATCATTAATGTGCATTATAAAAAGTAAAGGAACCTTGGGGTACTCCATTAAGTACATGTCTCCAGATGGAGCACTTGGAATTTATCCTTACTTTCTGTCTACGACTTACTAGGAAATCCCTAATCCATTTTAAAAGAGGTCCGTCAATACCAAGGTTTTTCAACTTCAATAGCAGTCTATTAGTTGGCACCTTGTCAAAAGCCTTATTGAAATCTATTTAGTAAACATCCACTGAGTTTTCGTTGTCTAGCGCGTTTATCCAGAACTCCCTTGCTATAAGGAGATTCGTTGTACAAGATAGACCCTTTCTAAAACCATGTTGTTCCATGTTCAGCAAATTATTGGTTTCCATAAATGCCGTTATGGTCCGTTCGACTGTTATTTGCATTACTTTAACCACAACACTGGTGAGGCTTACAGGTTTGTAATTCGATGGAACTTGTCGCGGACCTGTTTTTTTGTGTATGGGAGTGACGATCGCGTCCTTCCGGTCCATAGGTAGCACTCCCTGATCAGGTGTCATGTTGAATATCAGTCAGTGGGGCCGCGATGTGTTGTGCGATGTCACAAGATTTTGGGATGTAGTTCATCTGGTCCTAATGACTTTTCCATGTTCAAAGTGCTAAGAGCCTTAAGCACATCGTTTTGATCGAAGTCCACGGTGAGCAGGTGGTTTGTTGACTGTTTATTTTGGTCTGATTCTTTGGAAAGTTCTTTCGTCGAATTGGCTAAAAATGCGCTTCAATGTCACCAGTGCAAGGTATGCTCGAAAGGCACTTTTGCGACAGTTAGCGTAAGACTTCAAATCGAAGGGTACCAGGACTCCTAAATCGTTTTCAACTTGGGATGCTTCTAGAGAGGAGTTTCCTAAGTTATAACTGTAGTCTGCAACATGTCTCAGATGGAATACTTTACAAGTGTTAAAGGTATGTCCATTTTGATATGCCCAACTTTGAGGTCCAGTCAGTTCTTCTCATGTGCCAGTATATCCTCTTGGTCGCGTACCACTCTCCAAAGTTTCACATCATCAGCAAAAAGTGATAAGTAAGATGATACTTATTGTGGAAGACCGTTTACATAGATCAAGAAAAGAAGAGGTCCTAATACTGGTCCCTGGAGGACCCCACTTGTACATCCCATAGCCTGAGAGAAAGTGAAGTTACTTACTTACTTACGCCTGTTAATCCCAATGGAGCATAGGCCGCTGACCAGCATTCTCCAACCCACTCTGTCCTCGGCCTTCTTTTCTAGTTCTATCCAATTCTTGTTCATTTTTCTCATGTCTATCTCCATTTCTCGGAGTGATGTGTTCTTTGGTCTTCCTCTTTTCCTTTGACCTTCAGGATTCCATGTGAGGGCTTGTCTTGTGACACAGTTCGGTGCTTTCCTCAATGTGTGTCCTATCCACTTCCAGCGCTTCTTCCTGATTTCTTCCTCCACTGGGATCTGGTTTGTTCTCTCCCACAGTACGTTATTGCTAATAATGTCCGGCCAATGGATCTGAAGTATTTCGCGTAGACAATTGTCAATGAACACCTGTATTTTCTGGATGATGGCTTTTGTAGTTCTCCAGGTTTCTGCCCCATACAGTAGAACTGTTTTGACATTTGTATTGAAAATCCTGACCTTGGTGTTGGTTGACAGTTGCCTTGAGTTCCAGATGTTCTTCAGTTGTAAATATGCTGCTCTTGCTTTGCCGATCCGCGCCTTCACATCTGCATCAGACCCACCCTGTTCATCAATGATGCTGCCCAAATATGTAAAGGTTTTTACATCTTCCAAATCTTCTCCGTCAATTGTGATTGGATTGGTGCATTCTGTGTTGTATCGGAGAATCCTGCTTTTCCCTTTGTGTATATTGAGACCTACTGCTGCTGAGGCTGCTGCCACACTGTTTGTCTTCTCCTACATCTGTTGTTGTGTTTGGGATAGAAGGGCCAGATTGTCTGCGAAGTCTAGATCATCCAACTGCATCCTAGATGTCCATTGCATCCCGCGCTTCCCTTCAGACATTGATGTCTTCATGATCCAGTCGATCACCAGGAGAAAGAGAAAGGGTGAGAGTAAGCAACCTTGCCTAACACCGGTCTTCACTTTGAACGACTTTGTCAACTGTCCTCCATGCACGATTTCGCAGTGTAATCCATCACATGAGTTCTGTATGATATTGACTATCTTCTGAGGCACGCCGTAGTGTCGAAGAAGTTTCCATAGTGTTGTTCTGTCCACGATATCAAATGCCTTTTCGTAGTCAATGAAGTTGATGTAGAGTGATGAATTCCATTCAATTGATTGTTCCACAATGATCCGTAGAGTTGCGATTTGGTCTGTACACGATCTATCCTTACTGTGAAGTTAACCCTGACCTTAAAATGTCGATTTTTTAGACATGAAGTGAGCCATTCAATTAGAGGTGGTCTGATACCCAATCGCCTGAGCTTGCTGATAAAACATATGTGGTTGACCCTATCAAAAGCTTTTGAGAAGTCAAAATAAATGACGTCACTCTTAAACTTGCGATCAAGGATGGTTGTCCATCTGTCCACCGCAGTCAGCAGGTTGGTTATACAAGAATGACACTTCCCGAAACCATACTCTTGGGGTGAAAATAAGTTTAAGGATGATAAATAGTCATGTATACCGTCGCATATCACGGACTCTATAACTTTTGAAGGTGTAGAGAGAAGAGCCACCGATCAGTAGCTCAAGGTTCGCTGCGTCAACCTCCTTAAAAATTGGTGTGATGTGAGTCAACTTCCAAATTTCAGGTAGTTTGCGAGTGTGGTATCGATTACAACAAAAAATGGTTTGTTAGTGTAATATATTTAAAGTCGCAATATCTTTGGAGGCAAAACAACCAAAGGTATCCCAAAAAAGATTTTTGCTGACAAACTACCTCAGCAAATGTCTGTCAAGCGTCAGATTTCATGTCAATTTCGCGTGCATTCATGCACATCATGGGAGGAAGCACGCAAATGATAGATGTAGTATAAGTAGTTTTGTAATGACGTTTACACATGATTCATTGAATGCGGGAGGAATATATCATATTCTAGGTTGTCTTGCTGACAACTTTGATGTGATTCATAACTCCATTTGAAGTAGGGATAATTGCTGTACCGTCATTTAAGACCTCACTGCACCATACATCAGGTGGTTGGAGTCTGCAACTCCGAGTTTGTGATTTGATAGCAATCTACGTTATGCGCTTTGTCACAAAACCGACACATTTTGACCTAGAACATAAGCTACTTTCATTGAACTGTGAATGTTACTTAAAAATATGGATGATGCTCTATCATGAGAAGAAAGTCCTTTAGAACTTTTTAATTGATAAGTGCACTCTCATCACACATGAAATTAACTTACAAGAATGAAGATGGACACGGTTACTCGTCAATTTTATGTTCGCTTAATTAAAAGAAATATATGCTTAACTCTAAATCTAACTATCTATCACAAACTGACACACACTAAGGCGAGATGATTTATGTAGAAGTTTGGATGAAGTATCATGGATTGGTACCGTGGTTTCCCGATACCACCATGGTATGACAGAAAGGCTTCGAAAGATCTTAAAGCAGTACAGACTCAAAGGAGGCTTCTGAAGAACTAACACCTTTCGAAATGCTTTAGTTCAAGTGAAGCATGAGATTATCTTTATACCAACAAATAATTGTATCTGTCGATAATGGGGTTTTAATTGTGATGCATTATATTTTCGATAAATCCTGAGTTGAGCCAAAAAACGTCTGACATGAACAAAAAATCACCTAATAATCCGGAAGAAGTTGAAAGACTCCAAATAGCATGCCCTTTTCAAAAACCATCCATTCTATATTAAAAATACCGTGAACATTCACGAAAGCTTTTTCAACTGCAAAAAAGACTGGTAGCTAAAGCTTTCTATATATTGCTAAATCCTACCGCCCCCCCAATAAGATGAAGGCCTTACTACTCACCGAACTTGGACCATCTATCTGAGCTATCACGTCTGGTTCTATTCACATTTCACATCATTATCACACATAGAAACTCATCACTATCATCTGACATTACATGTGTCCTAAGTTCCTATGGGTCGTCCAATGTTTTGTTTTCTTACTCCGAAAAATTTACAATCCTCAACTCTTGCATATCCTTTGATTTGCTATATATCCTTGCCATCTATAAACCACATATAATTTGATATGGGTTTTCTAATTTTTATCATTAGTTATCTTCATAGCGGTGTGATATACTTAATGGATATCTAACTCAGAATATAGAAGCTTTAACCATCTGATCTGATTTGCTTGTAGCATAGAACTAGTAGAGACAGTGTATTCCAGAAAGGGGCTTAGATTAAAGCAATATTCATACACACCACAAACTTAAGAGAGCCTAACATTACAAAAGGAGGGAGGTTGGCGTTACTGACCAGCAAACATGGTGATGGGCAGATAACTGCTATCCACCCATGTCTATGGGGCAGAACATTTTGTTAAATTAAGGCTTCTTACGATCTGGTGGAATGTCATGAACAAATGGTATTGATGCTAACTTATTATACAAACTGCCCCTTTAAATCATGTTTGTTTGGTTTCACTTCCCATCGAGTAATCCTAGACAATTTGCTAAATGCGAAGCCTGCTCATGACCCTATTGAATCGATAAAAGTAAAAATGAGCTGAAATAGCTTCGACAAAAAAGCGAGATAGCCAGTTTTTCAGTACTATATTTTAAAACTTCACATAACCCTATACTTTCAGCTTCTTTTTGGATCACGTCCATTTATACATTTCTTTGTCCATTCATACCGTATTCACGCTTGTTTTCTTCAGCCTACCAGAATGCTCTTGCTTAAAAAGGATCTTAATAATAAAAAATCAAACTAAGTAGTCATACTTTCACTATTTCACCACAATATGCACGAACGTTGTCTGCTTTGATTTTCGACCTTTCTTTTTTACCCTCTTTTTCAGACATGCCACCGATAACGCATATGGAACGAGTGACTTTATCCTGCGCCATCATTAATGCCTAGGATGTTCCAGATGGATATATGGTCAGGGCTTATATATACTCTCAAAATTACGTGAGTTTATACTTAACTATCTCAGCAAGTGTGAGAGCTACAGGGGTATCACTCTTCTCTCAATATCGGGAAAAGTCTTCAACAGGGTATTGTTAAACAGAATGCAATACTCAGTAGATGCCAAACTTTGAGACTAACAAGCTAAATTCCGTAAGGATCTATCGTGTACAGACCAATTCGCAACTCTACGGATCATTGTGGAACAATCAATTGAATGAAATTCATCACTTTACATCAACTTTATTGACTACGAGAAAGCATTTGATATCGTGGACAGAACAACACTATGAAGGCTTCTTTGACACTATGGAATGCCTGGAAAGATACTCAATCCCTTACGGAATTCCTATGACGGTAAAGACCGATTTCATGCAAGGTTACTCTCACCCTTTCTCTTTCTCCTGATGATCGCCTGTGCTATGAAGAGGTCAACATCTGGGGAGAAGCATGGTATAAAACGGACAGCAGCTGGACGGTCTAAACTTCGCAGATGATCTGGATCTTCTATCGCACACGCAGCAACAAATATAGGAGACGACCCGTGTAGCAGCAGCCTCAGCAATAGTAGGTCTCAATAAACACAAAGGGAAAATCAACACTCCCCGATACAACACAGCATGCAACAATCGAATCACGCTGGACGTAAAAGATTCAGAAGATGTAAAAAGCTCTACATATCTGGGGAGCATCACTGATGAACATGGTAGATCCGATGCAGATGTGAAGGCGCTGATAGGCAAAGCAAGAGCAGTATATGTACAACTGAAGGACATCTCGAACTCAAAACAACTGTCCACAAGCCAACACCAATGTCAGAATTTTCAATAAAAATGTCAAAACAGTTCTACTGTATGTGGCGTAAACTTGGAGAACTACGAAAGTCATCATCTAGAAGATACAAGTTTTTAATAAAAGTTATCGACGCAAAATACTTCGAATCCGTTGGTCAGACACTATCAGCATCAACCTACTTTGGGAGAGAACAAACCAGACCCCAGAGGAGGAAGAAATCAGAAAGAAGTGCTGGAATTGGACAGGACACACATTGAGGGAAGCACTCAACTGCATCACAAGGCGAGCGCTCTCTTGGGCTCCCCAATGCCAAAAGAGAAAATGATGACCAAAGAACACACTACTCCGAGAAACGGAGACAGACATGAGAGAAATGAACAAAAACTGAATAAGACTAGGAAAGAAGACCCAGGACAGAATAAGTTGGAGAATGCTGATCGACAGTCTATGCTCGATAGGGGGAACAGGCGTACGCAATTAAGTAAGAAAGAAAAGTATTAAAACAGGCATTTTAAATAGAACATACTTCAGAGTATCCTTAGAAGCTATGAGATTAGTAATATATTGATACGTGATAAAAACGTAGACACAAGGCAAGCACTAAAACTGTCAGGAAGCAACAAGAAATACAGGTCGATAACTTGACTGTTTTTATTAGAGCGACACATCCGCATTTTGTCAACTAGTCACAACTCACAATACCGCGCATTTGACGGGGCTGAATTATTAACCAGTCAGGAATGGAAGCTAGAGAACATATCACGTCACGAAATAAAAACAGATATGAAAAGAATGAGTGATGACTGGAAATACGTAGGAAGGATTTTCCAGGTTTGGGTTAGATGGATAGCCCAGGTGGGAGGCCTGTGCTCCTCCACAGAATTAATAGGCGTAAGTAAGAATGGACACTGTCTAAAGCATCATCAGAGAAATGACGTAAATCTTCAGCCGGTAAGTTCTCTGGAAAATAAACTCAGTTTCAAAGTCAGTCTCTAAGTTCGACTTCCGTCTGAATTCGAGAGTTAGAATATGCTTTAAAAAATACGTATAGAACATGATTCAAGGAGCAAGAACATAGAGTACATCCTGTTATGATTGAACATGTTGTGCTCACCATCAACACCACGGGTAACTACGATGACTAGATATTAAATGGTATATTAATCAAATGAAATATGACTCGGTGGGAAAACTTGTCCGATAGGCTTCATCAGTTTGTTAAAACAGTAAAGATGAGATGTTAAAATGTTTACTACTTGGAGGAGCACTTGGAATTCATCTTTACTTTGTTTATACGACTTTGGCAGAAGTCCACAAATAATACATTTTCCGGGTTCTAGAATAGTCTATGTTTGGCACCCTACCAAATGTTTTGCTGAAGTCGACGTAGACAGTATCCAATGATTTTCTTTATCTAGATCCTCCGGCCATTGCTATCGTGCTATAGAGAGGTTTACTGTAAGAGATAAACCTATCCTGCACGCATTCTTTGCCGTCTGAAAAGTTGTTGGTATCTACAAATATCACTATGGCATCTTGATTATAGTTTCCAGTATTTAAACCATAGCACTGGTGAGGGTGACGCGTCTTTTGTCCGATGAGTGATGCTTAGACCCTCTTTTACTAACTGTTGTGACAACAAATCCTTCCAGTTCATAGTTAACCGACCTTGATAGTGACATCAAGGAAGTCGTAGTTAGTGCAGGAGCAATGCATTGTGAAACATGTATCTAGATTCCATGGTGAAGTTCAGTCAGCCATGTAGAGTTTCATGAGTCTAAAGTGCGAGTGCCTTTAAAGTATAATTTTATCTCACTAATTTTAATAATGCAAAATTAAGTTGAAGATATTTAATATGTCGTATCGATCGAAGTTCACAAGGAGAGACCGCTTCTCTGACTTCAGATTCAGGGCTAATATTTTGTCTAGAAGATGATCATGAGTGAAAACTGTCCTGAAATTGTCTACTACGACCTCTGAATTGTCCTGGTCTTCCTCCATTGACTGGGACCCACACCATACTGTAATTGCGTTGAGGAATCAATGGTGCGTCCTTATTCTGTAATTTATGTACAAGAACAGTCTCTTTGGCTGCCTGTTCTCAGATTGTGCCAACCTATTTCCACATTTTTACTGAACTACCTGGGTTGTACTTCTACACTTATTTCTGACCGACCTGAAACGTTTCATCGTATTTGCTGTGCCAAGGCCGATGACAGCGCTCCAAAACCTTTTTTCGTCTTAATGATCGTCGGACCTCATGGTTCATCTATAAATGAGAGTGATTCTTCTCTAGGACTGTCAGGATGCAAATAATTGAGTTACATGACTGTAATGATGAGATCACGTCTCTCCTACTGATGAGATCATGTTATTTAATTTTTAAATCTGCCTGACTGCAAATGTCTATTCTCATATCACCAGTTCCTGATGCATGTGTTATTAGATCCCTTGAGAGTTACCTTTGTTTTAACCATCTAATTCGGAAGTTCCAGAAGTCAGTATATAAATTTGTCAGCTGTTTGCACAGTTTTCATTACTGTATTCCAAAATACTCAGAAAATGCAAATATTCGTAAAGACATTGACAGGAAAGACAATTACGTTAGAGGTTGAGCCTAGTGATACTATTGAGAATGTGAAGGCGAAGATTCAAGACAAAGAAGGTATTCCTCCTGACCAACAGCGTTTGATATTCGCTGGCAAGCAGTTGGAAGATGGACGTACTCTGTCTGACTACAACATCCAGAAAGAGTCGACTCTGCATCTTGTCCTTCGTCTACGTGGTGGAATGCAAATCTTTGTGAAGACGTTGACTGGTAAGACGATCACGTTGGAGGTTGAGCCTAGTGATACTATTGAGAATGTGAAGGCGAAGATTCAAGACAAAGAAGGTATTCCTCCTGACCAACAGCGTTTGATATTCGCTGGCAAGCAGTTGGAAGATGGACGTACTCTGTCTGACTACAACATCCAGAAAGAGTCGACTCTGCATCTTGTCCTTCGTCTACGTGGTGGAATGCAAATCTTTGTGAAGACGTTGACTGGTAAGACGATCACGTTGGAGGTTGAGCCTAGTGATACTATTGAGAATGTGAAGGCGAAGATTCAAGACAAAGAAGGTATTCCTCCTGACCAACAGCGTTTGATATTCGCTGGCAAGCAGTTGGAAGATGGACGTACTCTGTCTGACTACAACATCCAGAAAGAGTCAACCTTACATCTTGTTCTGCGCCTACGTGGAGGCATGTGATTTCTGTTAAAGTAAAATTAAAAAATAAATTTTAGTTTGATTTTATTTCTAAACGTAGTTCTGTTTTCGCGAGCTGCGAATGATGTTGGTCTGTTGTGTCGTACTAAGTAGTGCGTTTTCACAGTGTGATACGGTCGATGGATATTCGAGCTTGTACAGATTTCAGCTAAGTCATTCACGGTTTAATCATGCTGTAGGACGAGTTGTTTGGACACAATGTGTTTGATGACATGGGCATTAGGAGTTGTATGGTACTGAGTAAGGATACGCGTTTTGAAATTTGTAGGAAAGTAATCGCAAATAAAGTGATTGTCATATTACAACCGATTTCGTGATATCACATAATCCTTTCCTGTAGATATCGACCGCATATCAGACTTGAGTTTGTATGTCCAACCCATTCTCAGCGTCTTTTCTTAGTTCCCGTTTCAGTTGGATGCTGGTTTGTTCTCTCCCGCGGTAGGCTGTTGCTGATGGTATCCGGCCAGCGGACAATAATTATCTTGTGTAGAAAATTGCTTATAAATACCTGTACCCTTTTGATGGTGGTTGTAATAGTTCTCGGAGCTTAAGCTCTGTACAGCCCGACCGTTGTTGCTACCTTGACGTGGTGGTCGGGCTTGCCTATCGTGATGAAGCAACCGAGCTATACTGGCTGGAACAACCGTTCCTCAAGGTCCTACCATGTCAGACAGGTCGGTTGAAGAGCGGTAAGACTAAAAGCAACAAACCCAAGGTCCGAAGGCGAAGTCGTACTGCTGACTGTACAGAGGTGTGACAGCAGTAAGGTGTTTCCTTCAGACAACCAGCATGACAGCGATGCTGCCTTCCCACAAGGAGGGGTGGGGTTAGAAAAGGTCGACCCTAAAAATGCACACCTCACCTTACCTCACGGATATCCGTCTCCGGCGGTAAGGCCCTTTGAAGAACGGAGCTAACACGTCAAAAACCTCCCGCGAAAAGGCCGTGCGCGACCGGCCTCAAGCAGTTGTCCCTTGGGCACTGCGGTCACGCTCTCAGGTCACTGAGACCACCTCTAATCCAATTTCCTTTTCAGGTACCTCCAGAAGAACCCTTCTTCGGTGTGGGCAACCGGGAAGTGATAACCGCCCTCATACCTCTAACAGCACCCAAGACCACTGTATTCATAATCAACCTTCCTCTTCAATTCCTATTATTCCTCCTACATCGAGATTCAACCCTAAACTTCCTCCGGCTTCCTCCTCAAGTGTCACCATAGCCAACGATTCTAGTGCTCAAAACTCTGTCCCAGGTCTACTGAAACCTCGCTCCAAACTACACATTGGAGCCTTCAACGTACGCTCATTCTGGAGCACATGCCTAGATTCAGATCATGCTCTAGTGCGAGCGCGTATTTGCTTGCGTCTTACTGGACGTAGGAAAGATCCTGCAAGGAAACCTCTTAGGGCCCTACCTAATGATAGTCAAGCTAAGAGTATATTTCAGGAACAACTAGGAAAAGAGTTAGGCAGCCATGTATGTGATGCCCACCCCGAGGCAGCATGGAACGATATCCGAAAAGCTGTGGAAACAGCAGTGATATCTGCTAGTAAGGTAAACCGTAAAGTTAGGGAGCAACACTGGATCTCAGCAGCATCTATCGCACTGATAGATGCTCGAAAACTCATTCCACCTGGCTCTGAACATAATGAAGAGCGGAGTGAGCTTAAGCGCAAGCTGACAAGAAGTCTACGCAATGATCGTGAACAGTGGTGGGTAGCGAAAGCAAGAGAGATGGAAAAGGCAGCGGCAATAGGTAATAGCAGACAATTGTTTAGACTCGTTAAGGAAACCGGAATTAGGAAACCGACCGTTAGCGAAACAATCTCAGAGAAAGATGGACATATTATTCATTCTCAATCCAGGAGATTGGATCGATGGGCAGAACACTTTAGGGATCAGTTCAACTGGCCTTCAGCCACACTTCGGTTTCCCACGATCTCCAGTCAACCTGAATGGCAAGTTAATGTAAGTCCTCCGTCCCTTTGCGAAGTTGAAAAAGCCATAAGAAATCTGAAACGAGGGAGAGCAGCAGGCCCTGACATGTTTACTCCTGAGATTTTTAAGGATGGTGGTCCAGTTTTAGCAGCAAGATTAACTGAGGTCTTAGGTAGAATTTGGGAACTGGACGTAATCCCATCTGACTGGTCTCAATCACTGATTGTGCCAGTTTTTAAGAAAGGACAAAAGTCCTCTTGTGACAATCACAGAGGAATCAGTTTGACTAATATAGTGTCTAAAATATTGGCCTCAATAATACTTCGACGCCTAACTAAAGCTCGTGAAGAGCAGACTAGAGAAAACCAGGCTGGTTTTCGACCTGGACGTGGTTGTATAGATCAGATATTCACACTACGTCAGGTTCTAGAACAGAGACACACATTCAGACGCCCCACAATGGTAGTATTTCTCGACCTTAAGGCGGCATTCGACTCCGTTGATCGTGAGGTTCTATGGCAGTGTTTGTCACTGAAAGGAGTACCAAAGAAGTACATTAACCTTATAAAGGCTCTCTACTCGAACACAACTGGTAGAGTGAGAGCTTATGGCGAACTGTCATCAGAATTGATCACCTCAAGTGGTGTTCGTCAGGGCTGTCCACTCTCCCCATTCTTGTTCAACTTTGTCATTGACGTACTTTTAGAGATAACACTCTCCTCATCTAAATTTCCAGGGGTTGAACTTCTACCGGGAGGTTCACTTGTTGACTTAGAATATGCAGATGACATAGTTTTATTTGGTGAAGACGCTGCCAAAATGCAGAGTCTTCTGACCACTCTAAGCAACAATGCAAGCATGTTCGGGATGCGATTCTCTCCCTCGAAATGTAAAATGTTGCTTCAGGATTGGGTTACATCGACACCCGAACTAGTGATAGGGAGTGAAGTAGTTGAGTGTGTCGACCGCTTCACTTATCTTGGAAGTCTCATCAGCCCTTGTGGTTTGGTTTGTGACGAAATCTCAGCACGGATACAGAAGGCTCGACTAGCTTTTGCCAACTTGCGTCATTTATGGCGTAGGCGAGATATCCGTCTATCAACCAAAGGACGTGTTTACTGCGCAGCAGTTCGTTCCGTCCTTCTTTATGGCAGTGAAACATGGCCGGTAAGAGTAGAGGATATCCGTAGGTTACTAGTATTTGATCATAGGTGTCTTCGAAACATTGCTCGTATATCCTGGGACCATCGAGTAAGTAACACAGTTGTCAGGAAACGGGTACTAGGTAAGGATGGCAAATCAATTGATGAAGTAGTGAAACTTCATCAGTTGAGATGGCTGGGACACGTGTTACGTATGCCCAACGACCGACTGCCTCGACGTGCTATGTTCAGTGGTATAGGAGTAGGTTGGAAGAAAGCTAGGGGCGGCCAGACCAAAACATGGCACAAGTCCATGAAGTCACTGACAAGTGAACTGAGTCATGTTGGTAGGTGTAGACTACCTGGTTGGGGACCGCGAGATGACAGCAACCGATGGTTAGAGACCCTGAATGACATGGCTCATAATCGTTCGCAATGGCGCAGGTGCATCCACTCTCTGTGTTCTCCCAAACTCTAATCTTCTGAATTCTTCATGTCCCTTTTTCCCTCTTCCCAAATTTCTTTCACCGGATTATACTCTTTAAATAACATCTCCAAACCCTAATCTTCCCGATTACTGCTTATACTCTTGCTACCTTTACCACTACGGGATTTGAATCGACCACTGCATCTCTGTGCTAATGTGGTGTGGCAACTCGAACTGATGTACGTACGTACGAAGTTCTACGTTGTTACTGACTGACTGACTGACGCACTCTATGTCAAATCGGTCAGCAGGCTTCCTTGGCTAAAACCCTAGAGTCTCTTTCCATTGATGTATGCTGTGTCTCCGAAACACACATACAGGATTCCAGTGTGGTCATTCACTTGACCTCACCTCGGCAAGACGGAGAGCCAACGAGATACACCCTGCGTGTATCTGGTGACCCGATGGCCAGTTCTCGTGGACTGGCAGGTGTAGGCATAGCACTAAGCATGAGGGCGGAACAAGCACTGTTAGAGTGGGTCCCCGTCAACAGTCGTCTATGTGCTGTTCGGCTAAACGGCTCCGTAAGAACTCGGAAGGATAGGGACACACGTCGTTGCCTTTTTGTCGTTTCTGCCTACGCTCCCACTGTCTGCAGCTCAGATGAAGTGAAAGATGAATTTTACAGAAAGCTTTCTGAACTTCTTCAGAAAGCTAAACGCTCAGACATAGTACTCGTAGCAGGTGACTTTAATGCTCAGATAGGTAGTTTAAACCAAACAGAAAGGCATTTAGGTGGGTGTTTTAGCACACCGGCACAGCGAACAGATGATGGTGATCGTCTGCTGCAACTGTGCTCACACAATCGTTAATTTTTAGCAAACACAAATTTTAAGCATAAGGAGAGACATCGTCTAACATGGCGACCCCCTACACCAAACCAACGATGGACTCAAATAGACCATATTTCCATCAGTCATCGTTAGAGAGGGTCGGTAGAAGATTGTCGCTCATTCTGGAGTACCTGTTTGGACTCCGACCACGCCCTAATACGGGTACACATCCACTTGCGCCTCACTGGACGCAAAAAAGCCTCAGTAAAAAGACCCATTAGAACTGAATTGAGTAGCGAGAAAACCAAAAGTAGGTTCCAGGAACAACTGAGGTCACACTTAGGTAGTTCTGAAAACGAGGCTGATCCAGATGTTGCTTGGAAAGGCATACAATCAACTGTGGAAACAGCAGTGACATCTATTAGTAACTTAAACCACAGAGTTACAAAGAACCAGTGAATTTCTTCAAGGTCTATCACACTGATGGATTCTCGCAAACTCGTCACATCAGGTTCCGAACATGATGAAGAGCGACAACAAATCAGATCTAGGTTAAGAAAAAGTCCAAGAAACGACCGTGAGTAGTGGTGGGCAACGAAAGCAGAAGAGATGGAAGAGGCGGCGACTATATGGAACACAAGACAGCTTTACAGACTAATAAAAGAAACTGGAGTTAATAAATCAAGTGTCAG